AATTCAATGGCTCTTCTCTCTTTTCATGTTCTCACTAAACCTTGTGTTTCAGCTCTTTTTGGCCTCACGGACAATTCACCCTTCAATCAGGAGACGGAGCAGGGATATCTCAATGCATCCCTTTTTTGTTTTCATTTTAAATGATAAAAATCAGACCCTTTCTATGAATGTAATTGGATGCAATCAAATATGAAAACTGACGTAGAACTTCTGTGTTTAAGGAAAGCTGGAGCAGAGGTGACATACTGACTGTCTTACACTAGCCCGGTCCCTTTGGTGCAGGTGTGTTTGGTGGTACATCCACGTGGAACATGTGCCACAGCAGCTGCTCCCAAAAGCTCCCCGGATGGATATGGACTGGTTTTCATTTGGGGGTTTGGTTTAGTTTCAGACTTGGGTGGAAAGATGGACTGTAAATAGGAAAGGAGCAGGTGCACAAGAAGCCCCCGTGGCTTTTATCTAGTGATGATGTATTATTGAGTGCAGTAATAAACATATATATATCACTGCATAGCAAAATGAAACGCAGGGCTGTGAAGGAGTGTGCACACTCATTGATAGATCATTAGACTTGAATTTCTTATAAATCATCCTCTATTAGCAGTCCTAACCTCTGCTTAATCCTAATTCTAACCTTAAATCTAAGCCCTAACCTTAAACCAGTTCAGAAACAAAGAGGGACCAACAAAATGTGTTTGATTGAAATGACTTTAGAGGACTGTACTGAACTCTCTGTCCTTGTGAGGACCGTCTACAGCTGCTGCTGCAGCTGCTGCAATCTGCATTGATTTTATTATTATTATTTATATATATATATATATAAAACCACTGCTGCGAGGGCAACATTGCTTCCCTGCGCGCCAAACACTACCCATCCTGACCACAGTGGGGGGCAGACTGCCACAACTGTGGCCTTCCCTGCTCCTCTGATGCCTTCAGGGCCCACTCGTAAACTTTAGCTTCAAAGGTTAGTGCAGGCCCAAATACGATTTTTTCCCCCCCCAGTTTTTTTTCTTGCAGAGGGATATTTTCTTTGGTTTATTAAATATGCAGAAAGGTTTTGTTGAGAGAGTTTATTGAATTCCTTAAGATGAACACATTGTTTAATGGGACTGTGACAGGGGAAGGAAACGTGGTGACAGTTTTCTTTTATTTACTTTTTTATGATCTGAAGCATTTATTAACTTATTCACAACAAACTGAAACATAAGCACAATGTATAAGTAATTGGACAGGCAGAGCTACTTAATACTGCAGCATCAAGCAAACAGACGACAGACTGCACATCTGTCGTGTTCATTCATTTATATACTAAATTGCCGCAGCTGTTCTCTCTTTAACATTAAAGAACGGGTTCCATATATACAGACTACAAGACAACATTTGCCTCTAAGGTTTAGTGGAGTAGCGTAGAAGAGAAAAGTTGCATAAAATGGAAATAAACAGAACAAGTTCAACAAAATAGAAAAATTAATAAATGTATAACTGTACCTATTAGTGTATGTCTATTTGGTTTAACTTGTTTATTTATGCTGTTAGTCTGTGTTTGTTGAGATTGAGAGCAAGGTAAAACCGGAGTCAAATCCCTTATATGTGTGCACATACACAGCCAATAAAGTGATTCTGGTTCTGGAAGAAAAAAATCTGCTGCTATCCCAACATCAAGCTTCAAGTTGTTTTTAGGTTTTCTGGAAATAAAGTAAAAGTACATCGAATTTGTACTTAAGTGCACTTAGTTACATTTCACCACGGATCACATTTGAAATCATTAATGACAACTTTCTTGCCCTTTTTCATTCACGTTCCAACATTCTAACATCCTAACGCACCTGAACGCAACACGTGACCGAGCATTAGCTCAGCACAGAGAGAGAGAGAGAGGGAGAGGGAGAGAGAGAGAGAGAGAGAGGGATTGGGACCGAGGGAGCGAAGGAGGGAGCGAGAGAAGCTAAACAGGTGGTCAGAAAACACACAGAAAACAATGTCGTCCGGCGGGGAGAAGCGGAAAGACCTTTAGTCCTCGCTTCTGTCCGGGAACACAGGGACAGCCGCGGAGCTTAACTAACAAACACAAAAACAACCCATGCTCCTTTTTTATTTTCACACGGATTCCTCCTCCTCCTCCTCCTCCTCCTCTCCTCCTCGGTTTTACTCCGAATCTGGGCAACATCTCGGGATACTAAAACCATGAAAGTGACGGTGTGTTTTGGCAGGACCCGGGTGGTGGTGCCGTGCGGGGACGGGAATATTAAAGTCCACACGCTCATCCAGCAGGCTGTCATGAGATACAAGAAGGCGATAGCCAAGGTAAGTGGCGGCTACTTTGCTTCCTTGCGGCTTTTTGTTTTCCTGGAAACAATGTTGCGACGTCCGGAGCGGCGGGGGGGGGCTCTGCAGGCGCACTCAATATGGCGCTAACTTGGAATACATGCAAAGAAGAGGGGACGAGGGGAAAAGGGGGAAAAGGGGGTTGTCTGTTTTCTGCTAGTTCGCTCACTTTATGAGGACACACAGGCTGCGTGTGTCGCTGCTTCCAAAGAAAGGCGCACCGCCATTGTGGTTCTTGTGTTTGTAAAAACCCACCAAACTTCCCTCTGGGATTCGGACTGTGGCACCGAACAAAGTAGCCCGCTGTTGGCTGCAGCTGATAAGCACTGTTTTTTTTTTTTTTGAATAAACGCATTTGAGCCCCAGCACACGTTTGTAGACGTAGTAACCCCGCTGGAAGACTTTGAGTTGATGCCTGTGAAAGTTGCCAGCAGAGATTAGCCTACTAGCCAAGTTAGCCAGCAGGCTGCAAAAGTAGGACTGCACGGTCTGAGGCGTTCAGGCTCCAAGCGCAGAGCAGTGTAATTAACCAGAGGAAAGTCCTGTCTTAGTGCTTAGTGTACACTCTTTTTGATGTATCACAAGAGAACACACACACAAGTTCCACATTGTTGGAATGAAGTCATTGTGGTGGCAGCAGGGAGGGTTAGCTGCGAGCAGAGACAGATAATGAGAGTTAATCAGTGATGCTTCAAATGCAAGAGGAGGAAGACTAGTTTTTGATAAGTTGTGTTGCATTTGTGGGACTATATGGAGAGTATTAGAGGTTCAGCTGCCTCCAGCTGCACGGCTGTGTGAGCAGGCACCAGGCCCTGCAGGAGAGGGAGAGAGAGTGCAGTACCAAGCTCCAGCTGACTGCTGGAGGCATGGACCCTGGCTGACAGCAGAAACCTTGGAGCTAAAAGTGAAGCTAGAAAAACTCGAAGCATGTTGTTGGGATAGCTGCAGATAACCTTTGAACTGCTTTATGTGCGAGGTTCTCTCTGGCGAGATCAGATATGGTGAGATTTGAGTGTACAGGAGCGTTATGTAACAGTTCTGTTGTTCGATCTGTCCCCTCAATCATAGAGATGATGTTTATTCCACCAAAATTCAATGAAACCTAGTCCTTTCTGGCATCCATCTCTTTTCTCAAATTCATTGAAAAGTACAAACTTTCTGTGTGTAAAAACCTACATTTGGCCCACAGTCACAACACCTTAATGGAACTTTTCATAATTCATCTGCACATCTGGGATTCAGACTTCTTTTTTTAAAATTGGAAACCATGATAACAGTAAATTCGGGTCAGTAGTCGATGCCAGTTTGTAATTCGATTCGTTTTTTATAGTCCTTCCTTTTAAGGTACAAATATGTTCCAGCAGCTACTCAAATTTCATGA